CCCGCTTGGGCTCCATACCGACTCCCATTTGCATCCACACATATCATAACTGATATTATAAATTTACATTCCCGAAGACACAAAGCCTTGTATTCATCGAGCGGACGGCAATTGATCTCTGTTCTTTTAAAGAAGCCAGATTCCAAACAGCCTTACCATTAATCTCCTAATGGCTTGGATTTTGCTCGCTGTTGCTCTGGCTGGTCTTGCTCTTCTGATCTTAAAACCATGGCTGTTCAGAAGTCAGAACAAATTGCCTCCTGGTCCTAGAGGATTTCCAGTTTTTGGTAGCCTTCATTTGCTGGGGAAGCTCCCTCATAGAGATCTTCGTGATTTGTCTCAAAAATATGGATCCATTATGTACATGAGACTAGGCATTGTACCCACCATCATTGTCACTTCTCCTCAAGCTGCGGAGCTCTTCCTCAAAACCCATGACCTTGTTTTTGCGAGCCGCCCATTTTTTGAGGCCTCCAAGTACATGTCTTATGGTCAAAAGAACTTGGGGTTCGCTCAATATGGCTCTTATTGGCGTAATATGCGCAAAATGTGCACGCTTGAATTGCTTAGCCATCACAAAGTCAATTCTTTCAGATCAATGAGAAGGGAGGAGGTCGGGTTGTTGGTCCATTATCTTCGAGATGCTGCCAAAGATCATGTTGTCATAAATCTTAGTTCTAAAATTGCTTCTCTGAACACAGATATGACTTGTTTGATGGTGTTTGGAAAGAAATATGCAGACGCAGAGTTCGATGAGAGGGGTTTCAAGTCTGTGATACAAGAGGCCATGCAGTTGGTGGCTACTCCTAACTTGGGAGATTTTATTCCTTGTATTGCAGCGCTTGATCTTCAAGGGTTGAACCGTCGTTCAAAAGCTATTAGTAAGATATTTGATGGGTTCTTTGAGAAGATTATTGATGAACATCTTGAATCCAAGAATGAAAACAAAACCAAAGATTTTGTGGATGTCATGTTGGACATCATGGGCTCCCAAGAAACCGAGTACCAAATTGATCGGTCTAGCATCAAAGCCATAATTCTTGTAAGTAAACTTCTCACACATTTAATTAATTATGACTTTCTTCTTTTTAGGTATAAAGTCACTCCAAATTTATCAACTTGTACACTTGGGCAAAGGATTTTCAATTCTTGGTTGTTCTAATTGGCTTAACCCATTTTTTAGGATATGCTTGTTGCAGCAATGGACACTTCAGCCACCACTGTCGGATGGGCGATAGCTGAGCTCATAAAGCATCCACAGGTCATGAAAAAACTGCAAGAGGAATTACAAAAAGTGGTGGGTTTGGATAGGAGGGTGGAAGAATCAGATTTGGATCACTTGGAATACTTGGACATGTTCGTTAAGGAAATTCTCAGGGTACATCCAGCAGCTCCGTTATTAGTTCCACACGAGTCTCTTGAAGACTGTACTGTTAATGGCTACCATATTCCTAAAAAATCACGCATAATAGTGAATGCATGGGCAATTGGACAAGATCCTAACTCCTGGGTTGACCCAGAAAAATTCTTTCCCGAAAGGTTTATTGGTAGTCAGGTGGATGTGAAAGGAAGAGATTTCCAATTGATTCCCTTTGGATCTGGTCGAAGAGGTTGCCCTGGAATGCATATGGGTCTAGTCGTGGTTCATTTCGTGATAGCTCAACTTGTGCATTGCTTTGATTGGAAGCTTCCGAATGGTATGTTACCAGCTGAATTGGATATGACAGAAGAATTTGGTTTAACTTGTCCCAGAGCTCAAGATCTTATGGTTACTCCTATTTATCGTCTTCAAAACTAACAAGTTGAGTGTTGCAAATAACTTAGTCAAATAACTACTATAGAATGTTATCAACTTTTGTACTATCAATAGTTCTAATATTCCTAATAAAATGCAAATAATGATGAACCATTTAAATCTAACTTAAAAGAGCTATAGTATGTTGTTGGCTTTTTATGTGTGGACTCTAGTTGAAAGGTGTGTTTGGTTGGCAAGATTTATAAACCATTAAAATCTCTCCTTGTTTAGAGTCTTTTAAATTTCTCCTTCTCCTTGTTCATCATTCCATAGCTTTGTATTTTTGTTTCCATCGGTAGACAGGTGAAATGGGGCTCATTTCGTCATCTTAAAAGGTTTCCAAAGAAGTACACTTTCCAGCAATTTCTTTGAGAAGATGCTAAAAGATTATATGGGTGGCAAAATAACGGACCTGAACATGACACCACCTCCAGAAACTTGTCTTTCTATTCTAACCATAAGAATTGGAACAAGGACAATCAGCATAATTCCATATCATTTTCAACAGTTATCTGGGCATGCGACGTGGATTCTTCTTCTTTCAACTGCAGAGTTAAATTTTCCAACACTGCATAAATAAGCAAGCTGTCATGATGGCCTCTGTCCTCAACAATAAACACATGAGACTTTCCATTCACTTGAACAGTACTTTTCCCAGGAGATTTCCTCACTTTGTTTGATCTCATCATTTTTCTCATATCTGCAACTCTATCCCATCTTCCAACTGATGCATATATATTAGCCATCTCAACAAACGAAACTGCAACCTGCGGCTGCAATTCAAAGAGATTACGAGACACATATTCACCGATTTGCATGTTGCGGTGAATCTTACAAGCACCAAGCAATGCACCCCATATGCCCACATCAGGCTCCATAGGCATATCTTGAATAACCTCCAAGGCTTCAATTAGCTTCCCTTTCCGTCCAAGCAGGTCTATCATGCAGGAATAATGATCCAAACCAGGATTTATACCATATCTTTCAGTCATCATCATAAAACATTCCCTCCCTTTCTCAAGATAGCCTTCATGAGAGCAAGCTTGAAGAACAGCTACAAACGTGACATGGTTTGGCATTATTCCCGACTCTGACATCAGATGGAAGATATCTAAGGCTTCTCTAAATTCCCCATTCAAAGCACAAGCTGCAATCATGGCCGTCCAAGAGACGATGGTTCTATTAGGCAAACCGTAAAATACGTCTCGAGCATCACTCATGCTTCCACATTTTCCATACATGTCTATTAATGCATTGGAAACAACCACATCTTGTTTCAATCCATGTAAATATGAATAGCGTTCGATCCAATGTCCTAGCTCAAGTGCCCCTGCTTTACCACAACCTGATATCAGGGAAAGAACTGTAACTAAATCAGGTTTCTCACCAGCTTCTTCCATAGCATTAAATAATACTAAGGCCTCATCAATGCGCCCCACCTCACTATACCCACTAATCATGGCAGTCCATGAAACACAAGTTCTAATGGACATGCCATCAAATAAAGTTCTAGCCGAGAAAATATCTCCACACCTTGAATACATTGATATAAGGGTGTTAGTTAATGAAATATCTGAATCGCAGCCCAATTGTACACCATGGCCATGAATAAGGGAACCATAAACTAGTGCTTCAGGTTGCATGCAAGAGGAAAGCAGGCTAATAATCGTACTTGCATCAGGCTTAAATCCATCACAGATCAATCCTTTGTAGGTATTTACAGCATCTAAATATCTCTCAAACTTTGCATAGCATGAAATTAATGAATTCCACGAGACAGAAGATCTTGCATGCTTTTGAATCCCCTTGAATACCATCTCTGCTACCTGCAGTTCACCGCATTTGGAATAAGCAGCAATCCAAGTGTTAGCAACTGAGACATCAGCATCTAATCCTGTTTCAATCCCAATAGCATGAACAGCTTTCAAGAATCTTAAACTTTTGGCAGATAAAACTGCTCGAGTCAACCCAATGACAGTAGCTGGATCTGGCCGAATTCCCACTAATCCCATCCCTACAAACAGATGAAAAACTCGATCAGGGGAGCCAAATTGGGCAAAACCAATAATCATAGCGTTCCACGATGCAATATCCCTAACAGGCATTTTCTCAAACAGGTTATACGCATCCTCCACTTTACAACACTTGACATACATATCGACCATGGCCGTCTGAACAAAGATATCAGAGTGGAATGGGGATTTGACGACATGGGTGTGGATGATCTGGGTGTTACAAAGATTGGAGAGCTTCGCGCAGGCTTTTGCTATGAAGGGAAATGTGAAATTGTTGGGTTGCAGACCATTTAGTTTCATTTGACGGAAAAGGACGAGGGCTTTGAACGGATGGCCATGATTTACAGCGTCCCTTATGTTGGAGTTCCACCAGGTGACAGTTGAAAACTTCGAAAATCGGTTGAAATGTGGAGGCAGTGAAGACATCACCACTTCTCATGGTGTTTGGCGGACCGCCGGAAAAGTTATTGGATAAAACTTAAAAAATTTGCATTTCGAATTCAATAGAAAATACTTATTAAGGGTAAATGATTTTTTAAAACAGAAATCTGAAACGAAACTTTGCCGGTGGTTTTTCTTTTACATCAAATTTAAAATACATATCCATTACTACTGATTTATACTCGTTTTAAAAACATTGGATAGATTTGAAACTGTAATGTGAGGACATTTATTTTTCTTTATTAATATAATAAAAACAAAACTGTTATTAATAATTCTTTCTTGTTCTTTCTATTTTTATTAAAAAAACATATTTAATAATTATTTTTTGTTTGTCGTTCTCTAAAATTTTAAGTAAAGAAAAGTATAAATTTTATATGAAAATTTTTCCTACTATTCAACTTTTATGTTATATTTATTTTTTTATAGTTATTATACCTTAAGTTAATATTAATAAAATAATATTTTTATTTATATTTAAAAAAAACTGAAAACAAAAATATTAAATAAAAACTTGATTTTGTTATTCCTAACGTTTCTACACAATTTTGTAAATACTTTTTTAAGAAAAAAGAAACAATTACCAAATAAATACTTATATTTCTCCCAGACTAAAAAGAACTTGAACTTGTCATTGGAATGGTGGGTTGTAACTTGAAATTCACAATACCAAACATCGCAATATATACGTATTAATATTTATAAAATTTCATCTCAAAATCAATTGACAACCTTATATTTTCGATATAAAAGTCCTTTTTAACACTGTGAAACTGTCCAAATACTATCATTTCTTCAAATTATGAGTTTGATAATGAACTAATTTATGGATATCTTAGTCCCCTAATGAAAAGAAGGGTGAAGAGAAAGGGGCATCTGGTAAAGTCCAAATGTTGGCACTGCCACCAAAAGGGTATGTATGATTGATAAGATAAAACAAACGAGAGGGAAGGACATTGAAAGTGAGCGACATTTTTTTTAACATCAAACTGAAACTCTTGTAGAAAAAGAAGAAGAAAAAATCAATGGATGGGTTGTCCATTTACAATAAAATGGTGACAATTAGCCCAAAAATCAGTAGGCTGAAACCAATACGAAGTGAAAAATAGGAAGCAAAAACAATTGGGTCGAGGAACGCGAGGAAAAAAAAACTAATTCCAAGACGCATGTACACAAGGGGGAGGTGGAAAATCAAACAGATATAGCACATAAATCATCGAAGACTTGTCTGATGTTAGGCCTCTCATTTACAGGGAGAATGCACCTGAGGGATACCACCAACAGTTCATCCATAGCTTTTGACGGCTCTTCTCCAACGATGATATCTCTGTCTATGCAGTCCATTCTTCGTCCTTCTTGATCGCATAGACGCACCCAATCCGTGAGATCGACAGCCCCCGATTGGCCCGATATTATGTCGCCTGCACTTCTTTTGGTTAATAGCTCCATTACAATCACTCCAAATGAATAAATGTCAGCCTTGAAGGATGGACCAGGTTTGGCTGCAGAAGCCAATTCTGGAGCACAATATCCAAGCGCTCCTAGATTGAGTATCTGCTCCGCAATGCCTGCTGGTGTCATCAAGCGGTGAAGTCCATAGTCAGTGAGCCGGGCATCAAAATCATGGCCTGCTAAGATTATATTTGTTGGCTTCAAGTTTCCATGGGGGAGGCCTCTGTCATGAAGGTATAACAGGCAGCGAGCAACTTCCACTGCAATTTTTAGTCTCTGGCTGAACGACAACCGAGAATACCTTCGAGGTGTTGATTCTGCCAAAAAAACAAGATAATAAAATGAATCACTCGAACACAAAGTAATCTTAGAGAGAGTCTAGTTGAAGGAGAAAGTACTTCTGCAAGTAAAAAGTATGCAAGCATGTCAAGGATGGTGATATTCTGGTGTTTATACAAAATCAATTTCCACGAATATTCAGGTATCTGGCCTGGTGAGTTACTTATAATAAATAATTGCAGACTTGGCAGGAATTTATGTTGCCAAGCACAAGGCTTAACATTCTTGTTCCCTGTTATAAATTGACATCCCAGAGAGATTTTGGACGTGGTAGTTACAAACAAAATAATGAACATAGAGACTGCATCAGTGAAAGCAGGTCATTTCATATTGTTGTGCGGACAATCATATGGAGATAAACCTAATAAAACTCTAAACAGAAATGCTATTAAAGCTCTTTTTTACGAGATTTGAATGAAAAGAAATAGAAATGTCTTCAAAGATAAGTCTGGAAGTTTTAGTAGTTTGTGGGATCTTACACGATTTCCCACCTCTAGTCTAGTTGGTGTTTCCTCCCAACTACTACCGTAAATATAGTTCATTTTCTTGCAACCTTGGGTTGAATTTTGAGACTGTTAGGGAGATTTCTCATCTTTCACTCCCGTGTTTGCTTGTCTTCTGGCATGAATTGGTTTCTTATATAAAAATAATAATAATAAAAGTTAAATAAAATAATTACAGTTCCAAATTTTGCTACAGCAAAAAATTGAAGTCTGTACTTTAAGAAGCCTATCAATTTTGCCCTTGGACACTATCATCTAATTAAATTGTCACGAAGCTGATGTGACCTCAACTGTCCATTTATTTGCAACTATAAAACCAATCAAAGTAGCAAATTACAGAATCTAGAATCATAATTTAACCAAAAAATGTATAACAAAAACGTCGCACTAAAGAAATCAAAATTTTAAAAATTTAAGATGGCAATTAATGGGCAGGGACTAGGTGACGAGCTATTTAGGTTAAGACAAGCAGCTACAAGAGGCCCAAAACTACGACACTGGTCATTAGACGGTCTAATTTAGACCTCATTGACAACAATCAAGTGTGTCCATGGCAAATGGACAAATAAGTTTTTCCACAACTTCCAAATATTTGCTGAAAGAGCCTAAAACTACGATGAAGGCACAAGACTCTCGCATCTCTTCAAGCTTCCCTGAGTTCTGTAGAAATTATCTCCTGTATCCAAATTCTTGTGGAGTATAGGGAGGATGGAAACTTGGCAAGCCAGGGATTTACTACTCTCTGTAGCGTTTGGTACAAGTGTAATAGGAATTAGGGTGGCTGATCTATTATCGTAGACTTACTAATAGTTAAGTTTTGTGGTTTAGTCCACTTTACTGCTTCTCTCGAGATTATATTACTTTCTAATTTTGCATTTTTTTATTATTACAAATACAGACAATACAAGGGATTTATTTGTTTGAAAGACTTATAGTAGCTTTGTGTAGAGCTTTGTATCACAGGCTTCTTTTCATGGTGTTTTCTTAGGCTGCTGGATTCTATAGCAGACTTTGCTTGCACGTCTATACCTAATGGAAGTACTGTTTTCTATAGTAGAATCTGAAAGAGTGAGCGAGATTGATATCAACAATGTAAAAACCTTAGGGTGAAAACAGTGTGTTGGATAAAGAATAATTACGTAAAAGTTATAGATCAGAAATGAGTGTCATGGAAGCAACGAGTGCTGAAATAGTATCCATCCTACATGGAACTCCGAGCTATTGATAGAGCCTCTCAAAAGTTTTTCACGATAAAGGGATCATTCTAGGCTTGAACGATACTCCAACAGAAAAGAAAATAATGGTTTTGGCTTCAGTTTATCATGAAAAACCATTTTCCAAGGTATTCTCTTCCATTTACCAATGACCAATCATTTATTTTTATGCATGCATAGTGCAAGAACGTGTCCTTAGATGCCCCTCACAAGCTATTAGCATCAGTATGCCTTACATGCTAATGCTGTGACAAAAAGGGTAATGCCATAGTTTTTCACAATGATGTTATCAACTGTGTAAACTACACAGAACGGGTGGAAGAAAAAAAAACTTAGTCAACGGCAATATTATGCAATGTCCATATGGACCAAAAAGATTCAGCTTTCCTAGGGATTAAACCAATGGTGAAAAATTCAAAAAAAAGTGCGACGCCTAAAAGGCCATGTGCAGTTCCATACAGTCGGCAATAGTAAAATATAAGCAAGGAAATATCCAAATATGAAAAAAAAGTTTCTAATACTCTTACCGTAAAGATGTAGAGCTAAGCTATCTCCCAAAATATAGTCAGCTAAAAGAAGCCGCTCTTGTTCCCTGGGACCCCAATAATATGCTCTTAAAGGAACAATGCTCGTATGCCTCATTGATCCAATTCTTTTAACTTCCTTGGCAAATTCTTTCTTATGTTTGACCAGTCCAACACGCAACCACTTAACAGCCAGCATGAGTCCACTATCCAGAGTAGCTTTATATAATGTTCCATGGTTGCTTCTACCAAGAACTTCAGCTGGAGCTCTGGATAATTCCTCAGCAGTAAATAGCAGTGAATTGTCCAAAAAACACAATTCTCCAGCTAACCGATCTGGTGAATACACATCTAGTGTCACAGGTTGTTCACGCCCTTCAGCAAATTGATGCGAGGAAGATAATGGGGAACCTGGAGAGGAATTTCTCCCAGTAGTAACAGGATGATCGTCAAGCAAATTAGGAATAATCAACGATGAACTTGTTGCAGCACCCCCAGGCAAAACATGTTCAGAAATCTCAGAAGAAAATTCTGCCTGCCCAGATAATGATCTTGAAGTGGAGGTTAGTAAATGGTCATTTGAAAAACTTGAAGAGGTTGGTGGAGGCTGAATGTTCGGTTGGAATTTGAAAAGGGATGGCCTGAAACGTTCTACCTTAATGTCTCTCTCAGTACCTTGACTGCTAAATATACTTCTTCCATGGAACTCTTTAATTTGTGCTCTGTGGTAAGCCAGTAAAAGAAAAACAATCATCACAACTGCTCCAACTGCAGCAAGAATAATAGCTATTTGGATATTAGCTTTAGAAGTACGATGTCTTCCCTGCTCAGGAAAATTATTTCCAATTGAGTTTGTTGAATCATCATTTGGTATGCTAAGCTTATCATTTCCAGGACGAAATGATGAGATAGGCAAGCTTTTTAAGTTTTCTGGAATATCACCTGAGAGATCATTGTAGGACACATTAAAAACATGTAGGTTGGGAAGCATATCGGGAATGTGACCTGTAAATTTATTGTTCGATAAATCAAGAAAATCCAAGTTACTCAATCTGTTCAATTGATCTGGAAGTGATCCTGATAATTCATTCCTTGCAACATTAAGCAATTTGAGCCTTCCCAACTTATCTATTTCAGAAGGCAACCCACCAACCAAGGAATTATTCGATAGATCAAGATATTCCATTGGCAGATCTGATGGTTTAACTAATAACTCACTAACACTTGAACCTTGAAGGGGTATGGGACCAGTGAACTTATTTCCCGAAAGATTGAGGGTGATCAAGGTAACAGATGTGAAGAAACTAGCAGGGATAGTACCGCTAAGATCATTCAAACTGAAGTCAACTGCAGACATGCTAGGATAGTTCCCGATTGTAAAGGGCAAAGGGCCTACTAAGGAATTACTACTGACATTAAGAACCTTTAATCCCTGAAAGAAGGAAGTTGAGTTTGGGAAGCTTCCTGAGAACTTGTTTGAACTTAAATCAAGAACCTCAAAATTGGCTTCCCAAGTCTGCAAAACTGATATGTCGCCAGATAAAGCATTTGATGACAGGTCCAAAGTTTTCAAGGTAGAAGAGCCAACGTGAAGAATTGAACCTGCAAGGTTAATGATGAATCACGTTCAGCAAAATGTAACGTACGTGGATAGGATTATAGATCTAGAAAAACGAAGTTCATTTATACAAGTAGTAGACAGGTTATTTTAAAGTTCATATCAAACTGAAATCTACAAGAACGATCCCAAAGTCTTTGTATAATGCATAAAAGTAAAAGAAATGGTTCTTTCATGAAACCAAAACCAGTTGAACTTAACAAATTATAAGTCTAAAAATACAACATCATCGTACATGTGACTTAGTGATTTCAAGTATAGACAGAAAATTATGTTCTTACAAATAAATACCGAAAGGAATTCTTAGTTTTTCAATCATTACATTTTCGCATCAAAAAGAAAAAGAAATAACCATTATGTGTATGGCTTGAATAGATCCCATAAAGATCTAAGTTGGGAGATCAAAAATGTAAACCATAAATGGTGCGATAATGAGACAAGTGGTTCTTTACCTGTAAATTCATTTCCACTAAGATCCAATTCCTCCAATTGCAAAGAACTGTTTAACAGTTCTGCGGGCACCGAGCCAGATAAAAGATTATTACCAAGCCTCAAAATCCGCAAATTAGGCAAGGACCCAAATGAAGGCAATTCCCCCATAATCTGGTTATGACCCATATCCAAAACTACCAAGTTTCGAAATAATACGAGAGAGTCAACGTCGAAGAATCCACCATTCAATTTATTGTAACTTAAGTTGAAATTTTTCAACGTATTAGCAAGGCTAGAAATGTTGTCGGAGCCAATTGAAAGTCCTCCGTAGAACTCATTGTGGCTTAAATCAACATGTTCCACATTCCGCAGCTGGGAAACCAGCAGGCCAATGTTCCCATATAGCCGATTTGAGTGCAAATCCAAAACCTTGAGCTGATTAAGATTCAATCTACCAACTGGAAACCCACCACTGAAGTCATTTACTGAGAAATTTAGATAGTTCAGATTGTAGAGATCGTTGATCCGCTCTGGGATCGGCCCGTAAAATCTATTCGAAGACAGATCCAAATGCTGCAGACTATATAATGTCCCAAGAGTCGGAACAAGCCGTCCAGTGAAATCATTTCCCGAAAGACTCAAATTCTTAAGGCTTTTGAGCCCAATCAGAGTCTGGAACTTCAACTCCCCAGCCAAGCCAAGCCGGTCCAGCACAATTGCAGATACATTACCGTTCTCATCGCAGGACACCCCGGTCCAGGTCCGAGGGCAGCCATCAGAGTTCGAAACCGAGGACAAATCCCAGTTGCTGCTGACAACGTTGCGCGGATCTCTCAGAATCCCCTTCTTGAATTCAAGCAGTGAGTTGAGCTCAGAATCGGAGGCTGCGGATACCAAGACGACAAGCAGATAAACGAAGCTAACACAGCAAGCTGCGTGATGTAAATAGGAAACGAGATTCATTGGTGACAATGTGGAAAAAATAAAAACAAAACCCTAACGATTCATTGATGGAGTGTGCCCACACTAGAGAGAGTACTCCAAACCCTAGAACCAGTCTGAACGTCGAGGGGAGAAGAGAGAGAGTAGTATATGTACATCAGAATCCAGCCAAGGAAGACAGAGAAAGCGAATGCGTTAAAAGTTGCGGGTTTTGGTCAGGTAGAGAGTGTGAAAGGCAAGTAAAACAGAGTCAAATAAAAGGACAATGCCCCAACAACACTCTCCGGCTCGGAGGCCTTCTCCACCGCTGGCCGATGCTCTCCTCCGTCGCCCACATGCCCTCTCTTTCACAGTCAACTGGGATGGGTTAAAGGTGGGAGATTTTAGGGCAAAAAATATGCAGAAAACACAGAGAGACGGCTTCTTCTTCTTCTTCTTCTTCTTCTTCTTCTTCTTCTTCTTCTTCTTCTTCTTCTTCTTCTTCTTCTTCTTGTTAGGGTTGAAGAATTGAGAAGACGAAGGCTGGAAGAGAACTGAGCTGGCGTGGAGCTGCTGCTACGAGTATTCTTCTTCTTCTTCTTCTTCTTTCCCTATCCTCCTCCCTCCTTCAGTTACGCAGATAATAATGGAGGTTTTGATCGTAATGGGGGTGGATAACAGCTAAGCAATTTTTTTCAACAATATATTTTTAAATATTTCTTCTTATCTAAAATAGTATTCTAATTTCTAACTTTTAAGTTCCCTTCCAATACCAGAAATAAAATTAAAAAATGTACAGCTTAGAAATATGCGAAAATGAGTGAATCCTTTTTTTTTTTAATATTACCAAGATGTCCTTAGTAACGTTAAAACAAAAAATTACTTGTTTTCATATACTTCTAATTTATGTCTGAGTAGTCAGTATTAGTGTTTTTTTTAATTAATGATGTAACATATAAATGTTGGTGATAGATTTGACTTTTAGACCTTTAAATATACTATTAAATAGTAATGCCTTAATGGTTCTTTCTTTTTTAACCAAGGTCTTAACTATTAAATTATGTTTAATTTTACAGTGTTTTTCTTTTATTAATAGATTTAACTTTCAATGATCCTTTTCATTGAAAAAAAAAACACCTTTTAAGGATCCTAGAACACCCAACAATTAATATTTCATATTTTTCGTAATATAATTTTAGTCCATAAACTATATATTGCTATATCTTATATTTTGTTCCTTTTTGGAGTTTGCCCTTGGTATTAAAGAATTTATTTTGTTCTTTTTTTCCTTATCTAAAAAAAATATATATTTTTCTTTTAAAACAATTCTAAATTTGGAAAATGTGAAACTAAAAATAAAATGAAGAATTTTAGCAAAAATGAAAAATAAATAAAGTGAAGCATGAGATAGGCTATGATTGTGCAGTGATCTAGATTAGTGTCCAAAAAACACAACATAGGAAGAAATTAGTTTTATTTTGTTTTTTCTTTTGTTTTCCGGAAGGAAATGTAAAAAAGATGGTAATCATACCTTAATAAATGAATTACTTTTTACTGCTAAAGTTCTACCAGATAGTATTTACCTCAAAACTTTTATAAAGTGAGAGTTTTAGACTATTCCTATATAATATAGAATGATAGGTATAAGAATCTACAATAGATAATGTCTTTCAAATCTCAAGTTACTTTCTTATAAATTCAATTTTGTTTTAAAGATATTTTGAGTGTATAATGATATTTTGAGGGTATGAAATGTGTATAGTCCTTCGTTTAATGGGGAAGAAAGAATATGTTTTGTTCATTGGCAACCTATGTTTATATTTTGCACCATTGACCAATTGGCAACATTTTCTATCACTATATTTGCCCCGAAAAAAAAACATTTTCTATCATTATCGTTAATCCAAACATGCCTAAAACAAATAAATGGTGTTGTCCTCTATGGTTTTAAGTCAATGACGAGGACGAGACATCAATCGATTCTCTCTTCTTC